TCGTTGCTTTTCTGCTGAAGCTGTGTCCTCAGCCATGCGTTCTCCTTCTCGGTCTTCTCTACCATCACGCGTAGAGCCTTGTTTTCTTCCTGGAGTTGTCGCATCATGACAAGGATCTCGTCTAACTTGTCGTTCTGCGTCTTGGCCTCCTTGCTCTTCTTTTCCGAGGCATTGTGGTCGGTCACCCCGGCCCAGCTGACTCGCTGTCGGGAGCTGGACCTCCTCCTGGACTTCGATCTCCGCCGCGAGCCGGACCGCTGCCGCGAGGTTGACCGCACGGATGCTCGGCTCCGTGACCGCGAACGCGACCGCGACCGTTCTTTGGGTAACGGCGGGAAGTCCTCTTCCTTGAACCTGCTCTCCTCTTGTTTCTTCTTCTTCTCCCACTGCCGCTGTTGCAGGATGTACGGCGTCTGGAAACGCTGCTTGCATCGTGTGTCACCCGTGGGGTGAGCCTTGCCGCAGATGCCGCACGACGGCGAGCACGCGTGGCCGTCTGTCGGGTTTAGAGTGTTGCAAATCTTGCACCGTTGCTCTTTCGGTCGCGGACACACGTCGGACCGATGTCCGACTCCGCCGCACGTACCGCATACTTCGATCTTTTTCTTGTACAGGTTGCACTTGTACTCCACGTTGCCGTACATGATCCAGAACGGCACCTTCTGGCCCTTGAAAAGTACCACCGCCGACTTGGAACGGCCCATCCGTCTGGCGTGGAGCACGTTTGGGTTCCTCGCCGTGACTAGGTTGTTTAGAACGTCTTGCTCGGAGTCTTCGTCCGGTATCCCGTGAATTACGCCCTTTATGGTGTCGTCTGGCGGTATTGCGTACGCTACAACCTCGTAGGTTTGTCCCTTGAGGCTTATAGAGTGCACTCCTCCGTATTTGACGGCGTTTTCGAGTGCCGGGGTGCTCACGATGAGCGTATTTTGTTCCTCGTTGAAGCGAAAAGCGTCGTGTCAGGCGTTCTCCGATGAGAGCTGCGCCGCGCGTTGAATGCTGCGTTGGACCAAGACTCTGTCTTCTTTCCGCACGTTTAGTCCTCCCCGAAGTCGAAAAACGATTTTCGCATCGTCTTCCGGAAGCTTCGGAGGCCTTGGCGCCTTCTTGATTCGAGCTCGGCCGTTCCGCCCGTTGTTCCTACCAAGAGTGCGGTTTGGCTGGGAACCGGCCGTTAGGCTTAGCGCTTTCTTTTCTGCTCGGGCCTTGAGTAAGACCGGCATCCAACCTCCCCCGGCAGAGTGAAACTCCTCCGGAGTGATTTCTTCTCCTTCTACCTCGACGACTCCGTTTCCGGGAGTCAAAAGAGGTATTTCGAAGCTTCGAGTGTCCATCTTGTCGGTGCGGCAGCTACGGCCGCCCTCCATTTGTCTTTTGATGGCGCGCGAGGCTGAGCAAGGCGGCGCCTTGTTTCGTCGAGAAAAACGGTGAAATCTTGAGAAAAAAACAGCCCGCTCACCCAAGAATTTGGTGTCCGGGGGTTTCTCTCGCGTTCCACCGCATGTTGGTGGTGAAGATTTGGAACTATACTGCAGAGGTTCGCTGAAAGCTTGGAAAGTTCACGGAGCTGATGCGAGATGCGTCCGGCCCAGATCACTTCGTCGTCGTCTCTCCTCGCCCTGGCGGTGCAGAAACTTGTCTTTCTTCAGCCGGGCTCACGTGTGCAACACAGTCAGCCACCCCGCCGTGCTGTACAGGGCTCAGGCCGTCTGCTGCCCGGGCAGCCAGGCCGGAAAAGTACACCGGAACTGGGCCATGTTCGTGTGGAAGTCCGTCATGGAAAGCACACGAAGGAACAACCTCTTTCTGCACCAAGAGAGCGGAGGTCTGGGCCTCGTTAACATCGTGCTCAAGCTGCGCGTGCAGCGTTTTCTGCTCTTCCGGGATGCAAGGGACCCGACCTTCATCGCCGTGCTGCACCACCTTGGATTCCCACATCTCGGGAATTGGATGGTGAGCACGAGTGGCCGCACGACCAAGGGAGCCGCCCTGCGGTTCTACAAGGAAATCGCCAGCTCCATCGAGTTTCTGCAGGCCCAATTTTCCTGGGAGTACCTGGCGACCGTCGGAAAGAGGCGGCTGTACTGGGATGCCGTTTCCGCATCCTTCCCGCCACCGCTCTACAGACAACCACCGACGCCCGACGACGCGGCGCGACTTTACAAACTCGTGCGAATCCTTCCCGTCCCTGTGGCGACAAGGGACTTCTTCGTCCGGATGCACATGGAGGTCCTTCCAGTTAAAACCTGGCTCCATCACAAGGGGTTTTTCGTGCCGTGGTCCCTAAACTGCGACCTTTGCGGGGCGCCCGAGACCATCCAGCACGTCGAGTGTAGCAATGCCTACCTCTTCTGGGACGAGATGAGGACGACGTTTGAGCTCAGGGACTCCTTCGAAGTGGAGTGGAGCGTCTTCAAGTATCTGCAACTAGAGGAGAGAGATAAGAAGGAGGTGGCGCACGTGACGATGCTGCTGGGCCTGCACGCCATCTGGCAGTCGCGTACCGCAATGGTGCAATGCCATCTCGACGCGCGTCCAACCTGGAGCTATACTTCGTGTCCACGTTGGGGTGGGTGCTATCGTTGACGTCGCGGCAGCCGAACGCAGGTGATTGGGAGTGCATCAAGCGACAACTCGAGGAAGGGCGTCGCCGCTACGTGCAACGACGTACGTCAGGCGTGGGAAACTGGCGAGTTCCTGTGAACTGTAGGCGCGTTGGCGTTGGCTGAGGTGCGCGGTGCGCGAAAGAGGACCGTGGCTCTTCCCCCCTTGGAACATAGCGTCTACTTTTGTTCGATTTGTTGATTTTTTTTTCGTACAGATTGCATAACCGCTCACGCGGTCTCATACTGTATCGTTTGCGTTTCCTCTCAATCGTTTCCGCCAAGTCTGGTCTAAGCACTTCAGGTTTGTGTGACAGCTATTTACCGCACAGCGATAGTGTATCTTTCTTTTTTTTTTCTTCTCTCTTTTCAGTCTTTGTTTTTCTCATTCGTCTCTACAGTTTGTATAACGTTTCTATTCGCGTCTCCAGCTCGACGCTCGCTCTCCCGCGGCGGAAACGGGAAGCGCTCTAGTGAGGGTCCCCCGACTCTCCTGCTCAGCGGGCATGGCGGAACTGCTCGCGATCATGGCTCGCGAAATGTCATTTCCGAATGCAAACAACACTCTTCACTGTCCCAACGTAGTGCTGCAGCCGGTACGGGACTCTACCTTACTGTAGAGTTTTAATATTGCGCATAGAAGCAAACGCAAGCAGTGTGCGTTTGCGTTAGAGTTGCGTGCCCCACGTTGTGCGTGCGCCTCATCGCCATGCGCCATCCAAGACCGCAATTTCGGGCTCCGCGCACGCGCAGTGTGGAACGCGCAAAGCTAACGCAAACACAGAGGGCTTGAGTTCGCTCGTATACGCAATATTAAAACTCACTACTGTTTCACCGGCTTCTAACGCCAATGAAACGTGCTGCAGTGAGCAGACGTGCAAGCAGGTAGGCGTTCCTTCGAACTGGAAAGGCTGAGATTGGCAAAACGACGGCGAGCAAATACAGAAGTAAATAAATGTTATGAAAAAACTAGTTATTCAAAAACTGCTTTTTTGGGGGAGTTTGGTCTGGAAGTATATTGCCGGCGATTTTGGACGTTTCGCCGATTGTCAAAAGTCGCGACTTTGATAGCACAATATACTTTACCCACAATTAATGTAATTTTACATGGATTTCTCACATTAGCTAGAATGTTTTCATTGATTTTAGACTATTTTTTTTTTGTAGTTGAAATGTAGCAATTGGCACCACTGATGATAATTAGCACAGTTTTCATTGTCATATTTCTTCGCGCGTTTAAAATTAGATCATAAGCAAAAAATTATATTAGAGCTTGAAGAATTACCTATTCAAATATGTGAATTTTAATATTATTCTTATTAATACAAATCGCGGCAATGTATGCCTCTAATTAATGCCAAGATCACGAGAATACTCTATTTAACCATAATAGTTTTTCCAGAAAGGTATAATTTTGTTTTCTTTTTAGCATATGAAAAACTCTGACATAGTTATCAAGGTAGACAAACAGTTAAACGCTGGATGTAATATGAAGTCCTACGCGTCACACCGGTGCTATAAAAACACACACACACACACTTCAGCTGTCTGACTCGGATTCCGTCTTGGGTTGTTGCGGTGAGAGCAGCGTTTATTAGTTTATGCGTTTCGTGGACATATTGTAAAAATTGGAATTATTCTCTTATTCTTGTGCTGGGATAATTGTCATTATTTCCCATGACAATTATCTGAGCGAGAAAAAGGCAGCGAGAACGCACAGATATCAGCACTGATTTTTTCAACAACTACGAATATCAGCCTGGATCGAACAGTATGTTACAAAATAAAGTTTCCGCGAACAACTTTTCAAAGTAAATAATTACGATGTGAGACACATCTTGAGTCATGAAAGAATCCGAAATGAAGACGTCTATCGAGAAATTAAATGGCAGTGTCTGCGTCGACCCGGTCGACCCAACGCCAAGCGTTGGGCAGACCCAGAGTTCTGATTGGCTATCAAAAATAATACAGGTGACTGGGTAAATGAAGTTAATTATTTATTTACATAAGCATGCTTCTGTATTAAATTTACAGTAATTAAATAATATGTGCTATATTTTGTGCATGCTTAAGTAATTGTCTCAGTTGTTTTGTGTGACGTCATGAGGTCACGTTATTTGACGGGAAGGCGGGAGAAGGCTGATGACAGCTACGCACGTGCGTAGCTGTCATCATACTGTCTTTCATCTCGCCGCTCATTGTTCCCAGTGTCCTTCAGCTGTGTTCGACGGGTCTTCCGACCGCGGTTTCCACAACCTCTGCGCATCCACCTGCAGTTATCGTGAATCGACGTTTTTGAGCCTTGATATTTCCTTTTTGGTTCTTTGTTGATCTTTTAACGCATATATTTTTGTTGTGTCATATTTCTTAGTATTGTGTGCTTGACCGAAGCTCAACATGCCACGTGTTTTGGTGGCTGGGGATTCAATGTTGAAAGACCAAGTCGGGTCTTTCACATTGAAACCCAGCGTGACTGTTGAGGTTCGGTCGTTCAGCGGCATTAGGATCGAGCGGCTCTTCTTCATGATCGCTGACGCCTTGCCTCACTTTGATGTACTGGTGGTGCACGTTGGCACTAACAACACCGCTGATAGTGCCATTACGCGCATCGCCAGATTTCGTGAGCTGGTGTCTCGGGTCTTGAAGGTCAGCCCTCAGATCCGGATTGCCTTCTCGGCCATTCTTCCGAGGCAGATGAGCCTGCGGAGGAATGATCGCTGGGCAGTCGGTGCCGAGGTTCTCCAGGAGCAGAACAGGGAAGCTCGGGAGACCAACTTTTTTTTGCAGGAGCTGTGCCGCAAGGAAGGCCACGGTTTCGTCGACGGGACCAGCCAGGACTGGAATGGAATGCTCAAGGCGGACGGCGTCCACTTCAACAAGAGGGGCAGCGAGGTTAGTTGTGTTAGCAAGAACACTTTTCGCGCTTTTTGTTTTATTACTTTCATTGCCATAAAATGAGGATGCAGAGGCCCCGTTTTGCAAGCAGTAGCGGTTTGTGTGCAGCTTAAATCAACAAAAAAGAGTGGCAGTGCGGTTTTTATTTTGTACTCTCTAAAAAGATGTGATGATATATCCAGAGGCATCCGATTGCATTGTTACTCTATCTTGTGTCATCTTACATTGCTCGACATGTTTTGTCTCACCCCTACGCAATCTTCAACTTAAGAATTTATAGCAGTGACCTGGAATAATACAATATAGGCTGTTTTCATTGACATCATTATGTCCACTATTTTGTTAGGAGCAATTAACCTGGCACATGCCAAAGGTGAACATTTGAAGGATTCATTTAATGCCATCAAATATGCACAAGGGTTGCGCTGATGTCAGCATGGCGTGTATCGCCACGCTCTCTAGCGTTCTCACCCATACTGTTTGCAATGGTACATAAAATCCACACCAGTCGAATATTTCTTAACACACTTTTTGTGGTTGTGTTTTATCTTGCTATTTACATGCAGATTTTATTATTTTTATTTTAATAGTTTGTATTAGTTTGCTCAACACTCGAACAATTGGATGGCCCAGGTGTTCGGCCGCATCCTCCGAGGTGGTGTCCGGGCTGTGGTGGCAAGCCAGCGCCAGGAGGCAGAGGAGCTCCAGCTGCAGCGGGACCTCGTGGAGGAGGAGCACCAGGAGCTGCGCCGGCAGTATGGAGACCAGGCAGGTGAGTTGGCAGAGTTCTGGGCGGGGAGGTCCAACTTCCCCCCCCTCAGCTGTGACGATGCAGGGCTTCCTGCATCGTCGAGTGAGCTGCAAGAGAACACGTGCACTGTGCCAGCCATCGGCATGGGCAAGGGTACCGCCACCTGGGCAATGGTTGTGCAGAGGCCCCCGAGACGTCTCACTCGTGCGGTGCCAAGGACGCATGACTGTGGAGGTGCCAGTGCCTCTGCCGAAGGTGCGGTGGTGGGCTGCGTGCCTTGCACGCAACACCCTCCGGTAGCACAGAGCAGCGTGTCCTCTGGACCAGTGACAGAGAACCCCTTGCCGACGAGTGTGGTAGTGAGCGCACCAAGTGCAGGTGGTGATGCCACTCACAAGCTGAGGCAGAGAGGAGCAAAGTCCTCGAGGATGCCAGTGACGCATGCCGCTGGCCGTGCTCCACCACTCGTTGGGGGAGTCTGGGTGCAACACAAGGCTAGCACACCTGGTGGTAGCTCTGTGTGTCCCTCCTCCTCTGGGGGCTCTGTGTCCATCACCTCTGGCAGTAGCAAAGGCACCGACAGCAAGGTGGTTGTGCAGAGGCACGACCGAGGAGGTGCCAATGCTACAGCTAGATGCGTGGTAGGGGCTCGTGTGCCTCCCTGCACACAGTCTTCTGCTGTGTCATGGAGCACTGATCCCCTCCCTCAGGCGGCTCAAAGCACGGATCCTGCTTTCCATGCTCAGAGTGGCTCTAGCGAGTGGACTGTGGTTAGGCGGAGGCGGAGGAGAAGGGAGACTCCTTGTGTGCCATTGAGGCCAAACCACCTTCACGTCAAAGGTGTTCCCATGGTAGGGAGAAGCCGTACAGAGGCGTACTCTGGAGGGCCCTCTCATGGGTGCAGTAAAAAGAAGGGAACATGCAGCGGTCTGTCATCTTCAAGAGCTGCCGTGTCAGTGAGAGCAATGAAAAATTCTGTGGCACGTGGTAGGCCCCCTGTTTCGAGGGTTTATAACAGCGCTGACACCGCATGCTCTCAGAGACAAGGCCCTGGAGTTCCTGCCCTAGGGGCAAATGTTGCTCTTGTGGCCCAAAACAAGAGCAGTCAGCCACCTGGACAGCATGGGAAGGAGAAAGAACTCAATCGGCAGTCAGTTGGGAACCATCAAGGGGAGAAGAAGGATAGTGGTGTAGGGCATCAGGATAGTGCGTTAGCATGCAGTTCCTCCGAAGGTACGTTGAGGAAAAGATTGTCAGGAGGGGGTCAACTTTGTAAGGGCATGACTTTTAACAACTTCAATGACTTCTTTGAGGTCTTTCAAAAATGGGTGGCAGATGGTTGTCATCCCATGAAAGTGAGACGTTCTGGCGTAAATAAGCTGACCCAACCAGGGGATCCTTTTCGTTATTCACGCATTACTTTCACATGCGTTCATGAAGGAGAGGGCAATCCGGGAGGAAGAGGTATTCGCCGTAACCAGCGTTTCTTTGGTAAAAATTGCACTGCTAAAATTCAGCTTACTCTTTGCGAAAAACCTTACCCTCATTACGAGGTAAAGGAGTTCAGTGACATCCACCCAACTCATGAAGTTAGTCCAAGCATCTACAGGTGGTATAAATGCGTTCGGCTGCTCTCTGATCTTCAGAAGGAGGAAATTGGCGATCTTCTTACCTGCAAAGTTAAGTCGAAGGATATTAAAAAAGTTGTGTTAGAAAAGACTGGGAAGCACCTTACATCCCAAGATGTGAGGAATTTGAAGCATGGCAGGATTAAAAAGATAGAAAATAGTCTACATCATGGGTCTCTTCTGCTGGAGGAAATGGAAAGCCTAGTTAACATGTGCCCTGGTTGGAGAGTACATATAGAGAAAAACGAGAGAGATGAGCTCCTATTTATACTACTTCAGTCAAAGCTAATGCAGCAGTTTACAGAAAAGTATTCAGAAGTGTTGTTCTTTGACGGAACTTACAAAGTAAACATTGAGGGTTTTGTTCTTCATGCTATACTTTGTGAGGATAGCACGGGTCACGGAAGACCATTGTGTTATGCTTTTGTACAACGTGAGACCTCTGAAATTCTAAAATCAGCCTTAGCCAAATTTTTAGCTTTAAATCCTGTCGTGATGTTCAAGTGTAAAGTTGCAGTGATGGATAAGGATCTAAATGAAATGAACATTATAGGCCAGTTGCTTCCAGGTTGCCAAATTTTGCTATGTTCTTGGCATGTGATAAAGTTTCTCCATGATAAAGTGTCCAAAAAAAGCCCTTTCACAATAGACAAAAAGGCAGTAAAGAAAATACTCCTAGATCTTGTTTATGCCCATGATGAGAGCAAGTACAATTTTCTATTGAAACAATTAAAAGAAGAAACGCAAAAGGACCCTGACTTCTTTGAATACTACTTAAAGAATTGGCACACCTGTAGGCGTATGTGGGTACACGCGTATCGTTGGGATATTTGTTGTTTTGGGAATAATACCAATAATAGAATGGAAAGCCACAACCAAAAGATTAAACAATTTCTGAGCGCACAAATGCATTTAGTTGAAGCAGTCAAGGGCTTAGTCCAATATGTAGAGCATGAGGCTTTGTCAGTTAGCTTTGCACAATTCAAAGAAAGCAAGGTATGCATTGATACTCTTAAGATGGACAGCTTTCACCTGGAAGTATCTAGTAAGTGCACGGTGTATGCTAGGGACCTCATTTATAAGCAGTATGAATTATTTTCTCAAGACCATACTTGGAATTACAGCATGACTAAAGGAGAACACATAATCGGATGGCAGGGTAACCTTTACCACGTATCTCAGGACCTGACTGCTTGCAGATGCTCATTTCATAACCATTATAAACTTCCTTGCAAGCACATCTTTGCAGTTCGGTCAGTCCTTAAAGCTAATCTTTTTGACGTAAAATCTGTTGCAACCCGATGGTTAAAATCTGATTTCACAGAGGATTTTACAGACATAGCTCCAGCAACTCCGCAAGTCGTCACTACAACCGTAGCAAAGCAGGGAAGTCCAAAACTTGACACAGTTCAGGAAAGATATAAGTATGTCCATAACAAACTTCTAGAATGGTCAAAGAGCCTTGCTAACACATTGGCACAGCTTAGTTCAAAGGAACTCCAGGAAGAAATGGTGAAGATTGAGGAGTTTTTCATAAATGTCACCACATATCCAAGGAACAAAACCTCACAGGATGTAGGGGAGTTGAATAAACAGCAGGATTATAATGGGAATGAAAAGAATTTAGCAATGGGGATGTTGAGTAATGATACAGAGAATTCACAGAAACCCATTCATATAGCAAGTCTAGACATGAAAGAAATTGATCCCCTGATTGGTAGACATATTATTTCAGATCACGATTATTGCAAAGCCGCTGACATTTGGGCTCAAACCTCAAGGTTACCTGCTCGGGAACTGCAACACCATAATGAGATAGATGTAAAATTGCCAGTTAACCTTGTAGACGGAACAGCTTTTGATAGTACAAACGTCACCTTGAGTATTCCACTTAACAAGTCACCCCGGGGTAGGCCCAGAAAAAAGAGAGCTAGATCTAAATCTAAGGAAACTGTGATGCCAAACAAGAAACATGCCAACTTGCCTCCCACTGTACCTCCAGCACAATATATTTTTTGCAAGGTCTTCAGAACACGCAAAATGATATGGACGTATCAAATGTTGTAATGAAATCAGTACAATCTGTGACTAGCTTGACATCTAACTCTCCTGGAGCCAGTTATATAAAGAAAGATATACTAAATACACATGGGACTAGAAAGTTGTCAAATGTAGAAATGCGTGCACTACAGTACATGAAAGACTTGCCTGGGGGGTCTCACGCTGCTCGTTTAATGACGCAAAAGGATTTCGAAGATTTACTAAAGCCCACAACTCTGGATGATAATGTAATAAACACAGCGCAAGCCATTCTTCGGGACCAATTTGGTCGTGTTGGTGGACTACAAGATCCTCTTTTGGGACAGTGTAACGAGTTTCGGAAACAAGACAAATTTATTCAAATACTTCATGTCCCTGGTCACTGGCTCACTGTGACGAATTATGGTGCACCAAATAACACTGTGTTTCTTTTGGACTCTATTGGAGGTATCTCAGATAGTGCAGTATCACAGTTGTGGAGAATATTGGGGCAAGGCATAGAGATGGTAACTATTGAGTCTAAACCTGTACAAGCCCAGGAGAATGGATATGATTGTGGATTGTTTGCAATCGCTCACGCATTCTGCATTGCGGCTGGAAGAGATCCATGTTCATATAAATTTGATAAAAATGCTATGCGTGCTCATGTGCTTCAGTGTATATGTGACAACGAATTCTTCGACTTTCCTTATACAACAGCATTTGTACCTCGAGTCAATCCTAAACGACAGTCTTTTATACGTCCCCCCAATGCATTGCTAAGCACTAGAGCGGCTGCAACAATCCACTACTATCATGAAGAGGAGCTATGATTGCTACTGTAGAATTAAAATATGAAATGTACTTTCGTATTACTGTCAATAGACGATTTTGCAAATGCCAGTGCAACCAGTGAGTGCTGCAAACAATTGTGGGAACAGTGAGTACTGCCAACCATTGCAGTCCTTGTTGTTGCTATAATCCGTTGGAAGTCAAGAAGGTACGGCGAGGGTAAGACGGGCCGGGGAGGAGGAAGCAGATCGAACGCTGGAGAAGAAAGTGGGAAACCTCCTTCTCTTTTTAGCGATCTGTCTGCTTCTTCCTCCCCGGCCTGTCTTACCCTCGCCCCCCTTCTTGAGTTGCAACGCACTATACAGGTACCTAATTTCCCATAAAGAAAAAAGATAACTCTTCATAAGCACCCAAACTCTGCTAAACGCCTTGGAAGCGTTATTGTTCTGCCAAGTTCAGGTAAAGTTAATTATGAAAATGCAAAGGCTGCTTCATTGACTGCTCTTTTAAGGTCAAGTCACTCTCTTGTTGTCTCATGTGGTTCCCAGGTTCCCCTGCGTGCATCAAGGATGGCATGCACTGATTTGCAAAATGGTCCACTTGCAAAACTTCTGCTTACATGAATGAGAACAATAGTATTCAAATTCCTTTCTTCATTACTGTTTCTAATTTCATTTGTTTCTTTGTTCTCTGTCCTCATGAACATCTCATGCCTTATTAAGGATGCACAAACAATGAGATTACAAAGTACTCAGAAGCAACTTAAATTCTAAAAAGTTATAAACATCAATATCTGCTGCACTGAGGCTAATTTACGAATGTATGCACGTCATAGGGCTAATTGAGATTATTTGATTAACAAAAATAGTATGAGAAACTCTGATAACTTGCCTTAGAATGTGGACATGATACGAGATGAACTCAAAGTAAGACAGTTGCATAATTCTAAAACTCTTTCATATTCATAATAAGCTGTATGACTAATATCATAAAATATTGGGAAGAAACTCTTTTTAACACACTCATCACTTGGCTCGAACTCCCCATACAGTTCCAGACAATATATAGAAGAAAACTCCTGCTTGGACAAAATTAATTATTTCAAATTTGCAGAATTAGAAACAGTAAGTCTTGTAATTACCCTCTTGCCCTTTTACTAACTTGGCAGCTAATCAGTGGTATTTTGTATGCACATTTTTATGTCATATTTTAAAAAGGGAGCCCCACCATTGAGTACTTTACTTTCAGGCCACAGAGAAGACATGGTAATAAACTATCAAGAGCTTTAGCTGTATGCTTAAACCACTTATACCAGGGCACATTTTTTATTTATTAAGTTGTGTATATTGGCAGGCTAACATCAACATCTCTTTTGACAGAAAATAGACGAAATTGTACCTTTAATAAGGAGGTGAACTGGGCCAGTTGGTTGACATTATACATGATGGGGAAAACAGCCCAGAAAACACAAACTATGAAGAGGAACAAACACGACAGAATAATGCTGTACCTAATTTATCACTTCGATAACCTACAATCTTATGGAGTGAATGACATGTAAACCTGAGTGGCTGAAATCGGACAACCTCTTAGGCCTACCAATATTCCAGAAATTTTGAGTAAATCTCTTAAAGGGATACTACAACGAAATTTCGGTGCTCATTTTTTGGTCTATATGTGTTCAAAGGAGCAGTATCACATAGAACATACCAATATCTGGTTAAAGAAGTCTTGAAAAAGAATTTTAAAACAAATTAAACGATTAGCAAAGAGCACCAGGTGGATGTCGCTAACGCCTCGTTTGTAATGCTCGTCTAGGAACCTTGGCAGCTGGTGACGGAGGTTGTCTCGCCTCCGGCCAGGACGAAAGAAGAGGGGAAGGAGGAACTTCCCTCTTCCCGAGAATGCCTTTTGTGTGTTGCAGAAGTCGCTATTGTACCCCTACAAGATTATAGAAGATTAACCCGTCACTCAAACTTTGTACAAAAACAGCCGCTTCGGTGGCTGGAACGACTAGGCCATCCTCTCGACGTCAGCCTCGCTGCAGCTTTGCTCGTCCCGAGACGACCTACGTCACGATTGCGTTGGATGTCACGTGCTCAAAGCTGGGCCTTCTTCGAGCGCTTGCCAGAGTGGGCCGTTTATAAAGAAAAATACAGCCACCAGGCTCAAAATACAAACGTGCGATTGTCTTTTACGGGTATTGTGGATCATATTCAACCTATTTTTGAACACGACGGTAATATTTCAAATTTCATTGAAGTATCCCTTTAAGCACTTGTTTAATTTGCATAAATTCTTCAGTTCTGTTTGGTTTTCATTTGTATTTCAGTTTTATTGTTTGATTTTTTACTTTTAGAATTATAGGGAGATTATTTTACTTTTGCTTTTCTCTGAGCTGTCTTTTGTCGTGTTATTTTTTCTTATTCCTCTTTCAATTTACTTTTTTTCCCGTCTTTTATTTTCACAGCTTTTTAACTTACTCTAGCTTTTCTTTTTTTTAGCTATGCCCATTCATTATATTTTTTAGAACCCCAGCTATCCGGTATATTATTTACGTATTACGAAATTCTGAATAGTTAATGTCAAATCGGCAAATGAAAATGATGCCAAAACCAACATTCAAATATACCCGAACCTTTCAGTGCTTTGGCATCAGTGGACAACAGGCTTGCCAATCGAGCAGGCAGTCAAAAAATGAACTGTGCCCAGCATTTGTTTTGTGCTGGTGCTTGAGTACTGGTGCGAGCTACCAAAGCATTCAGTTGACATTATGAAACTGCTTATAATCAGTTGTGAACAAATTCTACAGTCAGAGTGAACCCCTGCCTTTGTTTCCAGTGGATACCTTCAGTATAAACAACATGATGAGGGCAAAAAATTGTATATTCAATGACTTTGCAAAAAAAAAATATTATTTTAGACTAATATTTGGGATTCTATTTCAGTGATGTTTGTTGGTGTGTTTAGCACATTTTCAGGCAAATCAGCAACCATGAAGAAAATGCCAGAGTACCACTTTAAGGTCAAGTGTCTTGTGAACATAAAATTAAATTTTTATTCTCGTTTCAAGAGACATCCCCAGCATTATATGGAGTATATATTCTTGTTGTATCTGTTCCCCACTCGCTTTTCTCTTGCCCCTCTCACCCAGCCCAGCTGCTAGACGGCTGCCCTTCACCTCTTCACCCAGTCCCCTCCCGTACCCTACAAATTAGCGAGACCAATGATGAGATGGCAACCTGAAGAGGACAAGTTCCTTGGCGGAATGAACGTCGGCTGCCACTCTGAGGCTTCCTGGAGAACCCTTTTCCAAGTCCTTCCTGCCACTAGCTAAGACCACCTTAACGTTTTGTTTGTATTTTTTACATACACCGATTGTGTGTATTGGCAAATGCTTTCTGCAAATCCGCAGCAAAATGTATACATGGCTTGCGCGTGACGTCGTTCAAAGAGCACTCCGATGACCACTAGAGAAGAGGGGAAGAAGGAGCTTTACTCTTACCAGGGTCCTCTTTTCTGCCTCCTGGATTTGCACAGAAGTTGCTTTTTTCCTCGCAGAAGATTATACAGGATTAATGCATCACTCAAAATTCTTTCAAAAGCAGCTTCCCTCTCCTCCCCCTACATGGTAGTCAAAAGTATGCGATGCGACGTCAGTGCAACCCATGTATTAGTTAGAAAGGTAATATAAAAAATAATTGTAGGAAATGAACTGGTATTTAATTATGTATCTAACTAAAAGCATTTTCATTGATGGTCTAGCTTTGATTATTATCAAAAGGATTTCAAGGAAGTGTCATTTGCATACGAACTATGCTGCTTTCTCTGTGCTTTGTATTTTTGTGATAAACTTTTTATATGTGATTATGAAGCAGATTTTAGCTACAGGTCTTGGACAAATGTTTCCTTTCTAACTAGCTCAGACACCCATAAGCCTTTTTTTTTAAAATATATATAGCTTTTTGCATTTTAAAATTGCTTTTAATAAGTTACTTCGGCTTAGGCCGAACAACTTGCTGAATATTAAATTATTTTAAAAAATAAATACAATTTTGTTTTATTACAGGAGAGCCACCTCTATTCACCTCCTCCCCCCCCCCCCCCTCCCCCGAAAAAAAAAAAAAGAAACAAACTTATAGGAAGTGTTTTTTTTCTTTTTTTTTTCTTTTTTTTTTTCTCAAATGTTTGTGCCAATGATTATGCAAGGATACCTCATTGTTTATTTGCCATATTGATTGTACTATATCGTCTACTATGCAGTTTTAGTGTAATCACAATTGGAGAAGGTATAATGAAATCTTGTCAAAAAAAGGGCACAAATTAATGAATTCAATAATATCAGAAACCTCACTTCCTCACAGTAAGCTAGATGTCTTCCTTGTTCTTTTGGAAAAGCACAAACGTAAATGAGAAAGCCTTGAACCAGACAGTGCGCTTCCAGAAGGGAGCATTGTAAATAGCGATGTTTTTGCTTTTATCAGTTTGTTTCTTCATTCTTCATAAACATGCTGCTCTAGAGTTCTACCTGTCGTCAGGTGGCTACCTCGCCAACCATTGGCTAGGTCAGGGCTTCTAAATCATTTCAATCTCAAGAAACAGCTATATTAATGAAAAGCCGGGGAACCCTGTTGGCCTCCGCACTGATTCAATAAAGCAGTGCAAAAGCCTGTAGAGCTTGTAAACAATAACACACGTACTGAAGCTTATGGTTCATAGTTATACATCAGTGGACAGCTCACAGCTGCTTAAATGGTGTTTAAACTGAAAGACACTTCACTCCCATTCTGAACTGATCTTTACCTCATGTTTGCTGTTGTTTGTGGCCAATGAAGTGTCATGCCGAATTAGTGTTTAATCACTCAGCAAATGCAATGCCAGCTGCATTGACCGCCCGCTTCATACAGCCTATTCAGAACATGCTTTAGTGGCGCCCTCTCAAGCCGCCGGCACGGAGTGCAACAGCTGTGTGCGCTCGCTGAGCTCACTGACCCTCGTCTAGTTCACGGCTACTCAAGCCACGACCACGGACGTCATGAAG